GATAGTTATGAATGAGTTCACACTGGGGAGCGTGGTGGTGGGGGAGACAGAGAGCCCTTCCCAAGGAGGGAACTGTTTGTTATGTATGTGTGTTTTGACCCAAATGAGTAAATGTTAAGCCAGGGTGTCAAAAGTCACATATCGAGTCCTTGGAAGGCTCAGAGAAGATTCGTGACATTTGTGTCGGAGTTGTTTTTCAGTAGCAACTGCCACCTTTCATGGCTATGGAATGGCTCAACCAACCTTGACCTGCTGAGTCTCTAGTAGAAGTCCTTAAAAATGGAAAGTTAGTGAAAGGCAAAAAGAGCAGTACAAATGGATTTTTATTTTTCATTTCATAGAACCACTCTGACTTCATATAATGCTTTTAAATGTCATAGTTATTTTTATATTGGCATTGTGATCTGGAAAAGTCCATTCCAAGTACTGAGTGAAAAACAGATTTCCTAATTCCTCTCTTCAGTACTAAATACTACAACAGCTTTACACACATTATCTCCCATATTCAGAGGAAATGTACAGTTCACTCAACAAGAGTCTGCTCTAGCCCAGCTTCTGTGTCAGGTGGCATTTCCAAGGGAGAGTCAGGCATTAATGAAATTAATGTTTCAGGAACTATATCCTTTTTCATTTTGTGATTTGTTTGCCTTGCATGTATGACAGTGAAGCCATAACTTGTTTTTTTCTTTTCATTAACATTTGCCTGGTATGTGTTAATCCTTTTGAAACCTTTGAAACCCTAAGAGATCTTATATATAGCATCTATTTAGATTTTATTTTATAACCCAATCTGAGAGCCTTTATTAAGTATATTTTTATTGGTTTCTGAGAGGAAGGAAGAGGGAGAGAGAGAAACATCAATGATGACAGAGAATCATCGATCGGCTGCGTCCTGCACGCCTCACACTAGGGATTAAGCCAGAAAGTCACGGGCATGTGCCCTGATTGGGAATCAATCCGTGACCTCCTGGTTCATAGGTCAATGCTCAACCACTGAGCCACACCAGCTGGGCTAGGAGCCTCTTTTTTTTAAAAAAAATAGGTGAGTTCAGATCTATTGGCATAACGGATGTAATTGGTGTGAAGGCCACAGAAGTGCCTTACTCAGATCTGCCTTCAAGGGAACCTTCTTAAGGGGAGTTAAGTTGATAGTGCCTCCAGCCACCCCACATTCACACTGAAGCCAACGCTCACCCAGGCTGCTCTCAGCCAGCTACCAACCACTGTGGGGTGCTGGAGCCAGGCCAGGCAGGCTATTCCTGCCTTGTGTAGGATTCAAGTAAGAGCCAACTTTGGCTCAGGGACTCTGCATCAGCCTGGCTGTAATAGTCTCAGACCTGTGCTGAAGCTCATCCTACCGATCTGTCCCCCCCCCCACCCCCCCCCCTC